TCAAACGCGTATACTTGATTTTCCCTCCAACACATGTGCAGGTACCGTACCTAGACCTTTCGGGTTTACCGTGGTGTGTGTGAACTCGACAAACTCGAGAGTCCAGCGACGCGAACAATGGGATTGATGTATTTACATCGAAGTATGGTAGCTTCTAGCGACGCGACGACAGGCTGCGTGTCCCGTGAGGTGGTTGCTGATGCCTCTTAGAAACTATATCCGAGGAGCTTCTAAACTGCTCAGAAATCTTATGTCCAATGACAACGTTGCAGCTGCCACTTGTCAGCCACCAGAAGCCTGGGAACCGATCGCCAGCTATCGGAGCCAAAGCAGCATGCCGGTCATTATTCCGAAATGCTCAGTGGCATCCCGCGGAGCACCCTGCGGAACCCCGGTCCTCGCATCTTGTCCATTCCTTCCCTCGCCGCTCAGCATCCTCCTGCCTCGCCATGTCGCACTGCTACGATTTCAGTCAGCCCGTCCCGCTGCTGGTTACTGCCTCGGCGGTCGCCAAGTCGACGACAAGCTAGCGAGCTGATTGAGAACCCTACTGCCCTCGCCTCGCCGTGGTCAATTCTGACAGGCGAGAGAAGTAGGGTTCTCAGGATGGTGCGAGTACGGTGAGCGGCGTGTGGGTGTGATGACAAAGCGAGGACTTCGAGCGTCAGATTTTTTAGGTCGCGCGAACTCAATTTACCGTCAGCTAAAGCAACGACAGGCAGACTTCGTTTCTCTCGCATGAGACCATGTATTCGTTCATGACACCTTTATTTGTAACTTTGGACGGCAAGATTGTCACCGCGCCGATAGGCTACAGCCATCTGGATGCGGTCCTGGGAGAGGGCATAGCTGCTCCCAAGCTGCTCACACAGCCCTCACAGCCCTCTGTTGCTGAGAATTCTCCCGAGGTGAGCGTGATGCAAAAATTAGTAAGTCTGACTTTACCATTTCCTCGCGCAACCTCCCCTGGTCCTCTCATATTCTCTCCCTCCCTCTATCTTCTGATCTCATCTCCAGTGCTTCTCTCACCCCACCCACCAGAGCCAGGATGTGGTTGATTTGCTGCCCGGCCACGTCTGGCACATCATCTTCCGCTGCCTGCTGCAGCCACCGGCCGATCCTGCTAAGCAGCAGCAAAAACATGAATACTCTATTTCTTTGGAGGAAGCATCATTGCGGGGAGAACAGAGCAGGTTGTGTGACTTTGTCGCTCTGCAGTAGCATCAGTCTGATTCGCCTGACACACACGAGATTGAAGAAGACAACGAGGAGAACCCACTTTCTGCCAGGGAGCAGCATGAGAAGGATTCGAGGCGCTTTGGCTCCTCCTGGCATGTGCTGCACTTTGCCATGGCCAGCAAGAGGCTCCTCCACCACGTCATCTCCTTTTCCTTAAGTCGTGTGCCGATTCTGCAATCCATCGTACAGCCTCCGCATGTGCTAAGATTTCCATTCATGCCATGCCACGTTGATGGAAAGCTTTGCTGTGCCTGCTAAACCGTTACCTCTGTGAATGCCTATCTGCAGGAGCTGGAGCCCATCTCCCTTAGATTCAACAACGAAAGAGCGTGGTGGAACCGATCGCTCCTCCGGATCCTCAAATTGGGAGGTCACCATTCCCTCAAAGCTAGGCCATGGACATTGGTCTCTACACAGTGTGAATTCCGCATCCTTCAAGGCACTAAGGAGCCTGACAATCGAGCGTTTGGAAGGCATCAGCCAAGAATATAACTTCTTGTCTTCCATCTCACTACAAATACATGAGTTCTTCCTGTCCTCCGACAACCGTAGATGTAGCCTTACTCTCGAGTTCTCTGCTGCTCGAGTCATCACAGTCAATTTTGGGCAGCATATGCTTGCCATTCACTCCTCCCTCCCACCCACGTTGAAGGAACTCTCTGTCACGGCAAGGAGACTAGAGGTTAACTGCACGAGTGCCAGCCCTCCTCGTCTCGACTCCCTCACGCTGATCGGCCGCAGCTAGCTTGACATTTGTTCACTCCCACTGGCTTCATCAAAAACAGTATTTTTCGATGGACCACACACCAAAGGAAGGATGGCTGAGCAGCATGCGCTTATGTTGACACGGCTACTCAGCAGCATAGCGACAACAGTGGAGACGCTTATAGTGAGGCATGGCTGGCCTCTGGAGGACGTGGATGCTAAGTGGGGCCGCATGCGCTCTCTTGGGATTGGCGTGAGCGGCAGGAGAATCGGTGGCGGTCGGAATGGTGACACTGCCATGACTACAGTGGAGGAGGTTGAGCGTTCGTCTCTCTGGAGAAGGGGGTCTTGGTGGCGGAGGACAGACAGGCACCCACAGTAGCGGTGAGCGCGAAGGCATACGCCCCCCCTTCATCGAAGCTCCAGAGATGCAGTCGATTTTCTTCCCCACGCGACAGTGCCAGCCCAGCACCCTAGTTTCTCTGCGCAGGCAGTTCCCTTCTCTGGCTCTCTACTGCATTGTTGGGCAGTCGTATCGGTGGAAGGGAGAGGGGGAGAACGAGCCTGTAGAGCTGATGAGGTTAGAGGAGCATGATGCTCTCAATGAGCTTGCAGTAATGGTGTCGCCAGGTGATGCCGCACACACCATAGAGAAGAAATCTATGGATCAGGATGATAGAATCATGCGGCTTTTGTAGGCGCTTGAGCAACTTCATGTTTTGAAAAGAAAATGGCAAAACCAGCCGAGGTGGTGAGTGGGTGAAACCAAGGTATGCAGGTGTGAGGGGTGTGTGTATGGAAGAGCAGAAAGGCTGCTGTGTTGACTGCTGATTTCAGTGGTGGGCAATACTTGCCTATAGAGCTGTGTGCTTCTGGGGGCGTGGTGGACTGGGTGCAATTGGTGAAAGGATGGTGGTGGGGTGGTAGTGACGGTGAGCATGTGATGTCCAGATATTGATGCACTGTTGTTTCCACCGCAGCTGCCTTCCCTGCTTTCTGCTGGCTTGCAGGGCGCGTGCTCCTGCTTAAATGGTTGAGTGCGGGAAAGCAGAGAGCAATTGTGAGGTGAAGGTGGATAGAGAGGGCGAACAGGGGTGCAGAAGGCTTCAGAGTTTGTATAGGATCTTCTAAATAAAGCCGAGTGTGTATGAGCTGGATAATCTCAAGGATGATATAAGTTGTGTGTGGTTACATACGTGTGAAGGGACTTCGTTATTTTACTTTCATTACATATCTGGCTACTGCATTGTACCATGCTATAAATCTTATTGTAATTCCAATATTCATACATTTTACATGTGAACTCTTATTTGTTTGTCAACTTCGCCGCTTTGAGCTGCTACTTGAACAGTCTTAACCGCGCTACTCAACCTCACGCGGTTGAGCCCCCGTTTCAAAGTTTCGAAAGATGGTTGCGATACAAGCTGCAGTGTAACGTCCGCAATTTGACTTCAGTTCGAATGGCAAGGTGAAGCCGCGTTTCACGATTTCAGCGAGGTTGGTTTGATGTGAATTGCGACACCCCCAAATGCGTAAACATGGTTTTCGGCCTTTCGATTTTAGCGAGGTGTGTGAAGCTTGGCAACTAGACAGACTCAAGAGTTCACCGGCGCGACCACGGCTTGCATGATGAGTGAGGTGCTTCTCGATGTCACTTAGAAACGATTCCTAGAAGCTTCAAAACTGCTCTGAAATCGTTTGTCCAATGAGACCGTTGCAGCTGCCACCTGTCAGCCTCCTGAAGCCTGGAACCCAATCGCCAGCTATCGGCGCCAAAGCAGCAGCATGGTTATCGACGTTCATTGTTACGATGCGTTCAGATTTCATAGGAACGGCGATTCGCATCTGTCGCTCCAATTTAAAAGAAACTCGTTCAAAAGCACACCGCGAAACACCGGCGAAACTCCCCGCGGAACACCCCGTGTAATGCCTATGGGCTGTGTTAAGGGCACTCCGCTGCGCCAAATAACACCCTCGTTTTGACCCAGTGGGTAGCGAGGTGTTATACTGGTTTCAGAGCCTTTGGTTCTAGTCCCGGCTGGTGCACATTTTCCGCCTGTGGCGAGAACCGAAGTGTGGTTACCAGCTCGAACCCAGAGAACGATCCTGAAATCTAGGTCCCAGCTGCAGGGGGCCGACTCCCTTAAGTCCGAGGCCAACAGGGACGTTGGCGCCAGGGGGGGGCGAGTGTAACGCCTGTGGGGTGTGTTAAGGGCACTCCGCTGCGCCAAATAACACTCTCGTTTTGACCCAGTGGGTAGCGAGGTGTTATACCCCGCGACGTCCTTACGCTTTGTCCACTTCATCTCCAAAAATCTGAAGGCCGAAATCGGATGGAAAACGAAGGATACCTCGGGGCAACGCTGTGGGGGTTGCCCCGAAGTTCCCCCCAAGACACCTCGAGGTCACCTTGATGGCTCGCGATAGTGGCGATGAGGTTATGCTCGCGTGCTGAATTTCGGGTGGATTTCGTTGACCAATCAGGTGGGGGCTACAATAGAGGTAACCCAGAGGATACCCCCCAGCTTCGGACCGAGCTTCGGCGACAGCTTCGGCAACCGAACTGAGCGGTTGTCGAGGCAATTTCCAACAAGATAACTCCTTTATGTTGCATCTCAATGTTATTTATACTGAGAGCATTTACTACATCGTTTTAGGCTTACATATTGTAAAGTTCATATTGAAATGTTGTTCGTTATAAACCCCCTTCGTGACATTATAAACCACCTTTTTGTATATCGGCGTAACTGAGGTCAATTGGCTAGTTTATGGGACGTTGCCACCACTTTGCGTAGGGGAAGGACAGTTACCGTATAAACATGCATCATGCACGACATAATTAAGGAGAGTTTAGACGCCACACCTGTGGCGTATTCTAATAAGCGACAGTCGCAACACCTGTCAGATAGGCACGCTAACATCCACGTCAAGGACGGATTTAATCTTATCCTTCCTATCGTAGCCAGCTACAAACGCCCCACAAATATTGTTACAGGTGTAGACCATGCATCCCTAGACTACCACATACACATGGGCTGCCTCAAGGCAACAAGTTATCAAACACCGCCCTTACGCAGGCCATCCGCCCACTTGTTCAACAGCCACACCCCCTCGCGATCGAACGACTGGACGACATGCACAACACGGCGAAGGTTAGCAATAGGAATGACCACGCAGGCATCCGGATTCCCAAGCTCCTCAAGCTTCACACACCCAGTGAGCTGGTCAACACCAACAGCCTTCCAAGGCTTGATGTACGCCACCGCATGCAGAGGCGCCCCGTGTTGATCCGTGCTCCTGCGGGCTCTCATGAGGAGGCTCAACTGCCCGTAGAGTGCCTCGCCCTCCCTGGCTCCATACTCCACAAAGGAGAAGGCAGGGGAGCCGTGATGTGTTGGTGCTGCGCGCGCATACTTGGCCGATGGCTCGCCAGTGCGGATGTCCTTGGCCGGCAACGCTACAGCCCGATGAACCTGCATGTCCATACACAAGCACGCAATAAGTGAGGTGGTGGGTGTGAGGATTTTGCCTACGTTGCCAGCAGGGTGGTGGCATGGGTTTACGAGACGAGAGGCATCATGGAGTGGATGAGAGGGTGACCCCAAATAGTTCAGGCTGTTACCATACCCAGCCCGGTAGTGAGAGTTGTGGGAGGTGGGTTGACACGCGGGTGATGCTGGGTTCCCGGGACCGCCACCCTCTGCTAGAGAGACTCACCTCCCACGGCCCACACCATTCTTTTCCCGGCGCCCCTCTCTGTTCGCACCTACCCCCATGCATCACTCACTGAGTGAACGCATCCCAATCCTCTCCTCCGTTTCTCTGCGCCTATCTCCGTCTCCCCCACCTCTTCCCAACAGCACCTCTCATTGGCAACCCCTCCCTATACAAGCAGGGTTTACTCACCACCCGAGCGCCTTTCCGTTCCCAGGACTGTCTGCACCTCTCAACGCTCGCACCCCTCTCTGTCCGCACCTACCGATCTCCACACCTCCATCTGTCCGCACCCCTCACTGTCCGCACAGGTGCCACACCTCCATCTGTCCGCAGGTAGACCTGGACCACACCTCTCGCTGTCCGCACCTCACACTCTCCCCTCTTCTCCACACATCTCCGACTATCCACACCCCTCACTGTCCGCACCTCTCACCATCCTCAGGGGTGACTGTCCATAGCCCTCACAGTCCACAGCTCTCTCTGTCCACACCTATCACTTTCCATTCCTCTCACTATCCACACCTCCCATCCCACTACCCACACCTCTCGCTGTGCACACCTCGCACTGTCCGCACTTCTCACTGTCCGCACCTAGGGCTGACTGCCCATCTCAATGTTCTAGCGTTTTCCACTCACCTCTTCCCTCTGTCTGCACCCCTATCGCCCCACAGCCCTCTCTGTTCTATACTTTTCCGGCCAGCACCTCTCGCAATCCGCACCTGAGTCTCGTCACTCTTGTAACCAGCCCGCCGCATAACACTGCTGTACGCACGGAGGCTACCTCCAACGGCTACACTGTACTGTTGGAGAAGGGTTCTCGCAGTAGTGCCATGGCCATCATCACGCATCGTGGCTGACGTGTTTGTCAACGCCGGGCTGCCCGAGGTCCGAGCCTGTCCAGTGTATTTCGGTGAGCAAAACGGCATTTGGGTCCACGTTGGACGGGTGGATGCATGTGGGATGATGAAGGAACACGGTAACATGCATACATAGATGCGAAATCAACAAGTGCACATTCTGCCAAGGACCTACCGAGACATTTGCCTCTAAAGAAATTGAGGGGGCATACCCGTTTGGCTGCCGTCATGTACTCTCGTGGCCGTTCAGGAACCGCCGGAGGCAGCGACAGCAATGCCGCTTGCGTTGCGTTTCCTTGCAAGATGGCGGTGTCATAGTCGCGCTTGTTGGAACTCCGGAACGGCTGCTTGCATGCCCTGACGTGAGCGTTCTCATACGTGGCAGTTGAGTACTCCCGGGGGTGGCCACCACGCCGGATAGCCTCTGGTAGGTGGTTCAAGCCATGGACCTTGATAAGGTTCCAGCCTTCGCCATCCCGCGGGAAGTGGGTCCGCAAGAGATCAACCAGCTTGCAGAAACTAATCATCAGACGCACCCCCGACAGTTCAAGGTTGCTTACTGGACAACAACTTGGCCTTGGCAAGGCCTGTGAGACATAACAGGTGGGGCAGAATGTGATCATACGCGGGGCTACACATGCTATGGGTTGACACACGAACTTACTTAACAGTGTCGCTCTCCATTTTCTTAAGGGACTCCTCAGTATAGAACTCTGCCCGTATGTGATCTTGGTGCCAGTTTGCAATGAAGACCAGGGCCTGGAGTCTAGCAGGAGCGATCTTGCCCTCGAGAATGAACGGTAGAATCTGTGAATGGGGAACAATAGGCCACAGAGCAAACATTTAACAACATTGGTGGCTCTGGTCGGCTGTGAAGTGTGGTCCAGCACATGCCCTTCATGCCTACAGTAACGCGCTGCATCGCGGCAGAGAGTGTTTGTCACATAGCAACCCGGGGTGGGACCTGGCATTGTCCTCACGACTCCTTACGGTTAGCATGGCAGCATGTTCGGCTGCGGAGTAGTATGAATTCCTCGAGAAATACAGGCCCGACGGTACAGGGAGGCCTGCCAATGTGGTGTCGTCAAGCATATCCTGGAGTCGACTGTGCACGCAACAACAACAGCTAGGTATGTTTGGGTTTGAAAGAGCAGCAGGGAGAGACGAGATGAGGCAAGGAGAAGGAAGGGTTGAAATGAGGCAGTGATCAGGACGGAGGGATGAAATGAGGGGATGCGCCACAACCCCTGAACACAGTATACTTACTCGTCAAGCTCCAAGGCATTGCTCTCGCTGCCCCTCAGCACATGAACCAGTCTGGCCAGAACCCCGCCATATAGTACATGCAGAAGGTCTGGCATTTGAGCCAGGTATGTGTTCCCCCAGTCCGTCCGCGCATGGTTGAACATCCACAAGAATGTCTGCCAGGGATTGAAAGTTGGAAAAGGATGGGAATGCTTGAGTGAATGTAAGAAAATAAACACGGAAGGGTCATTATATGGGCCAGGCAGACCCATACTGAGTACCATGGCAGTATATGGGCCAGGCTGACCCATACTGAGTACCATGGCAGTATATGGGCCAGGCTGACCCATACTGAGTACCATGGCAGTATATGGGCCAGGCTGACCCATACTGAGTACCATGGCAGTATATGGGCCAGGCTGACCCATACTGAGTACCATGGCAGTATATGGGCCAGGCTGACCCATACTGAGTACCATGGCAGTATATGGGCCAGGCTGACCCATACTGAGTACCATGGCAGTATATGGGCCAGGCTGACCCATACTGAGTACCATGGCAGTATATGGGCCAGGCTGACCCATACTGAGTGCCATGGCAGTATATGGGCCAGGCTGACCCATACTGAGTACCATGGCAGTATATGGGCCAGGCTGACCCATACTGAGTACCATGGCAGTATATGGGCCAGGCTGACCCATACTGAGTGCCATGGCAGTATATGGGCCAGGCTGACCCATACTGAGTGCCATAGCAGTATATGGGCCAGGCTGACCCATACTGAGTACCATGGCAGTATATGGGCCAGGCTGACCCATACTGAGTACCATGGCAGTATATGGGCCAGGCTGACCCATACTGAGTACCATGGCAGTATATGGGCCAGGCTGACCCATACTGAGTACCATGGCAGTATATGGGCCAGGCTGACCCATACTGAGTACCATGGCAGTATATGGGCCAGGCTGACCCATACTGAGTACCATGGCAGTATATGGGCCAGGCTGACCCATACTGAGTACCATGGCAGTATATGGGCCAGGCTGACCCATACTGAGTGCCATGGCAGTATATGGGCCAGGCTGCCGTGGTGTTAAGGGTAACGAGGGCCTCTGTTGCACACAATTCATGTCACACATTAGAAACTGAGCAGTAACCGAGGTGCTTACCTCAATAGGGTGCGTAGAGTATTCTTTGAGCTCTGCCGGTTTGCCCATAATCCCTCGTTGCTGATCCACCGTACGCGGCTTGTTCAAACCGTCCTGGATCATCCACAGAAAGTCCTTGTCCACATAGCAGACAGAACAAGGCTTATCCGAGCCCAGCTGCAGCGTGCAGCTTACTTTGGATATCTCGGGATAATCCCCGATGTACGCAAAAAGCATGGCGAATGCCGTGTGGACAGCTCCAAATGGATCTATAAGCGGGAATCCCCTGCATAAGAGGGGTGAAACGAGGCAAGGAACAGTAAGGACGGCTGAAATAAGGACTGGTGCAGCCGGGAGGGATGAAAGGAGACATGGAGCTGGAAGGAGGGATGAAATGAGACAATGAGCACGAAGGAGGGACGAAATGAGGCAAGGAGCAGGAAGGAGGGATGAAATGAGGCAAGGAGCAACAGGGAGGGATGAAACGAGGCAAGGAGCAACAGGGAGGGATGAAACGAGGCAAGGAGCAACAGGGAGGGATGAAACGAGGCAAGGAGCAACAGGGAGGGATGAAACGAGGCAAGGAGCAACAGGGAGGGATGAAACGAGGCAAGGAGCAACAGGGAGGGATGAAACGAGGCAAGGAGCAACAGGGAGGGATGAAACGAGGCAAGGAGCAACAGGGAGGGATGAAACGAGGCAAGAAGATGGAGGGAGGGACGAAACGAGGCAGAGAGCAACAGGGAGGGATGAAATGATGCAAGGCGCAGCAGTGTGGGATCAGACGGGGCAAGGAGCAGCAGGGAGGAATGAAACGAGGCAAGGAGAAGGATTGTCGGGATGAAACGAGGCAAGGAGCAGCAGGAAGTAGGGATGAAATGGAGCACGTACTTCTCTTGTAGCTTGAACACCTCATCCAGGACGACATGCATAGCCTTCTGAAAAAGCTGCACTTTCTGCACAGGCGTCATCTTTTGGTTGGGCATTGGAAGCAGGGCAATTAAGATCCTGCCGGTCTCTCGCCACCGAAGGGAGTAGGGGATGTTTGTGACCGATAGATACACGGGCCAGACTCTGATGCGCCCATGTCCACTAAGTGTCGTGACATCCGATGCCAGAATGATGGGGCATACCACCTCCCCGTTCTTCAATAAACTCTGTAGGGTAGGGTGTTATGAAGGAAAAGGGGAGGTTTAAGGGCTGTGCTGCAAACGGCAGAAGGGAGTTTGAGGTGAGTCGCTGTCATGCAAAAATCACAAGAGAGAGGGGAGGTGAGTCACTGTGTTGGCCGAAGCAGAAGGGAAGGAGAAGGTGAGTGAGTGGGTGACTTGCATGGGTTAGAAGGTAGGGGGGATGTGTGTCTCTGCACTGCACAAGATGGCAGGGTATGGGTGAGACACAGTCCTGCATGAATCAGGGGGGTAGGGGGAGGTGAGTCGCTGTCATGCTAAAACTGAAGCTGAAGGGGGATGTGTGTATCTGTCATTCACAAATCACAACGGCTAGAGATGCGTGAGTCTCCGTCGTGCAAGAATCATAGGGGAAAGGGGAGGTGAGTCTCTGTGTTGGCCGAAGCACAAGGGATGTGGGAGGTGAGTTGCTGACATGCCAAGGTTAGTACGGAAGGGGGATCTGTGTCTCTGTGTTGGCCGAAGAGGAAGGGAAGGGGGAGGTTTAGGAGCTGTCCTGCTGAAATTCCCAAACTTATGTGCAGATATACCTGCGCCATGCGCCACATGGATCCCGTCTTGGGATCCGTGTAATTGTAGCCAGTCCCGACCTCTGTGCCGTCCTCAGGGCGGAGCACGAATCC